GTCGCCTCAGCTTGAGCTGTCGCTGTCGTGTCATTATTTCGTCCGCTGCCTGCGTTCGATACTGAAGCTGGTACCGATTTGATTCCGTAGCGATAGACATCCACATCGATTTAGGCAGGAACAGGAAAAACAATCCTTCCAAGTTACTCCCCAGTGCAGTAGCCAACTCCGTAGGTGTGGCGGAGCAGCGTGTAAGCTCTGCCGATGGCAGCTGAAGGGAAGCGCCTACATAGCAACGATATATGGGTATTAGTGTCGAGTACAGGATAGCCGAAGCAAAGGACACTCGTTATCTTGTATAGTACACGAAATCACTCACATGAATCTTCGAAGTAGGTCGTCCAGCCTGTTTTCGCGTGTTCGCTCAGCTGGTCCTTGTTCATCTGGTCGAATGGAGTTCCCGCTGAGAGATCGACTGCATCTTCCTCATCGCTGGTGTTTTCTTCCTCTTCACCAGCAGAAGTTTCACTTGTACCTTCAATGTCGGACTCATCGCCTTCATCGACTTGGAAGTCGTTCTCGTCACCAGAGCTTAAACGGTCATCACCAACAGATATGTCCACTTCTGCTGCGCGAACAGTACACGACCGTAGTGGACGTAGTGACGGTATAGGAGACGCAGCGACCTCTTTACGCGCACGTTTCTTTCTTGGCGTCTGGCCCTTAGCAGGAGCTTGGGCGGGGGACTTAGCCGGCGACTTGGCTGGCGTATTGGTGGGTGACTTGGCAGACGTCTTTTCAGCTGACTTTGTAGTCGTCTTCCGAGGTGACTTGGCAGGTGCTTTGGCAGGTGTCTTCGCAGGCGACTTGGCAGGTGTTGTCGCAGGCGACTTGGCAGGCGTTTTCGCAGGCGACTGGGCAGGCGTCCTCGCAGACGACTTGGCAGGTGTTGTCGCAGGCGACTTGACAGGCGTCTTCGCAGGAGACTGGGCAGGCGGAATCACGGGAGAGTTGACTGGCGGCTCGGGGGCACCCAGTGGAATTGATAGAGGGGAGCTCGTAGTGGCGTGTCGTTTGGCAGGCGGCATGTCATAGATAACTGTGATATGAGTTAATAACAATATAACAAAATCAAAATGAGCCGATTCGTACCATCAACTGGCACGTGTTGCCATACTTCGTCAGCTCCGTCGAAATAGTCGACAAGGTGTGTTGCGTTTGGCCTTTTCTTCCATCCATCAGGTGTAAAGTAGCGATTCTCGGTAGCTAGCCCCTTTGGTCGCTTAAATTGCCACCCTAGCTTCTTGAGTCTGGTCCACAGTTGTCCCCATGTAAGTCGCCGAACTCTTCGCTTCTGCATGGTGCTACCTCCCCCTGGTCTAAATCGTGAATGGTGCGAAAATTGGCGCGCTCTCTAAATCTCTAAGAATTTCTGGCCACGAATTATTAGCCCGAGGTTAGCTACATCACTGTCAAACTTTATATTTGGCAGCATCACTTGAAGTTTGTATAGTTGTACTTGAATTAAGTATGAGCCCGATTTGCCAATAACTTTTACCTGTAGAATACAGGATACGAAACTTTTTATCCTGTAGAATACAGTAGGGTATTTACTTAACTTCGTCTGACGAAGATAATCAAAGCTACCTTAGCGCAACATTCAAGTAACGTCACCTTACTGTGACCAGTCGGGGAAAAGCTTTTGGAGATGGCAGGCGATACCAACGTGGAATCGATTGTGGACTTGATGGAGAGTGAGCTTGGCCCCTCTTCCAAGAAGCAAGATGCGTCCGCAAGGGCGAAGTTCAATGCCTTCTTGACCAGACATGTAGACAAGACTCTGAAGCTAGCTACGCTAACAGCAGCTCATGTGACAAAAGAAATGTTTGGTAAGTTTTTATCTTTTTTGTTTAATGATCCTGACATCCATTGGCAGACGTCGATGAGCTATCTCAGCTCTATCAAGCGTCAGCTGGAAGAGACGACTGGCACAGAGCTTTTCCGCAACGATCCGGAGTGGTACCGACGATGTCGTCGTCATCTTCAAAAACAATATCTCATGCTTTCCATTTCGACTGGAAAAAAGCTGAAGCAACAGGCTCCTCCTATGACACTAGACGACTTACGTTCCATCTCTACAATTCTCTTTCTTCGCAATGATGTCGAAGCGCTACTAGACCGAACTCTGCTTAACAATCAATGGCTAGCAATTGGACGCAGCTCGGATATTGGCACCATTCACTTCTCAGACTTACACTGGAATGGGAACTTTGTTCTCATCGACGTCACACGGTAAGAGTTAGCTAGTACTATTTCTTCTGCTCCTATTAATTGAGTTTTCGTTCTGCAGCATAAAAGTTCGACAACAACAAAGTATTTCGATTTTCTGTTCTCCTATATGCTGGAGTATTGACCCTTTCCATGCTTTGGCATCTCAGCTAATTGCCAATCCGTATAACGCCTCGCCAAGGGTGTTCTCACAAGTATTGGAGACTACGACGGAAGCGCATGTGGCTGCGTACATCAACAGGTTATTGAAATCCATGTACAAGTATGATCACACGTTGACACTTACGAGAAATCTCCCAGTCGCATTCAGCACGACGAGGTGGTGCGGCGTACGCCAGCTCAAACGCCAGCGTGAACTTGTCGGATCTAGCACACAGAGGATTGTGGTCAATGGATGGATTTGCAACTCTTCTCGAATACATATCACCTACCACTGCTGCAGACCAAAATGTTGCTAAAGTGCTGGGCGGCTGGATAGATACCAAGCAAGCTGGTCATCCACCCTCGCTAGCCTGTTTCGAGATGGAATCACATCAAACATACACCAGAGTTAGCCAATTTGCTGACTCTTTACGGCTTCTCCATTTTGCAAAGATTTCCCCGAAGGGTTTTGCTGACTGTCTTACCGCGACGCTTTTAACGTATTACCGAGACACGCTAGCAATTTCCCCACAGCACATTGTTCACCAGAAAATGCAGAGTGTACACGCCGCGTTACCACAGCTGCATTCGTGTCAGGAGAAGCTGCTGGACTGGGGTAGCAAGATCCGGAAGCGGTTTGTTACTGATAACATCCTCTCGCTTCCAGTAGAAAGTATTAAAAGCAGTCTCACGATGGAACAACAAGCGGAACAATTTTTGGAGCTCAGGGATACGCTTGAGAGGTTATTACTTGGGCATCAAGAACTTGTTGCTGCAAATAAAAGTCTGAAAAACATGATGCATCAAATATTAGATAGGTTAGATCACATGCCTCGCATGGAGCACACCGTGTGCGCTGTGTGCAGTACCGGCAACGTGGCGGAGCAAACCCAGCCACCAAATGCAGCCTCAACACTGGAACTACGTCCTCCAATGGTAGAACAAACGTGGCCACACAGTTAATCCAGCTTGAGGGGCAAGCGTCTGTCCGACTTCTTGGTGCAGTATTTCGTGGAGGGTCTCGGTTCTCTTTCCAAATCCCGTGGCAACAGAAGTCAAAAGGACTGCTTGCGTGCTGTCGAAATTGTGGCGTACGTTGCTGATTTGTCTAGTATACCACCTATCCCAGCGCCAGCTCACGAGTTGGAAAGGATGCAGTGGATGTCTGCTATGGTAACCATGGCTAGTCAATGCGAGACATTGTTAGTGACAGGCTTGAGCAAAACTGACACAGTAGAACGAGGGAAACGCAAACGACGTAGGTCTGGTAAACTTACAGGAATTGTCAAAGCCTGGAGCGAACTAAGTAATGGTCAACGGGCTGCCTTCCGCTCGTTGTCGCGCATCCGCTTTTCAGCGTCGTGACTACAGAGTAGATATGACTAAAAAGCTGAAGACCACAGAAAAAAATTGATTAAACAGAAAGATTAGAATAAAGGCCAATTTAGATTTCTGCCGAGACAGCCATACCTCAGCGGTTGCCCTCGCCAAGTTCATACTATCATAATGCGCCTCAAAGACTAATTGCGGCATGCATTCGCTTTGATCGCGAGGCTCTGCCATCCACAACATAACTGCGCCCTTCATTCTAGCGCAAAAGTAAAGACGACAGACAGTAGTTAGCATCACACTCAGCAAACCGACAGTATTAGCGTATGTACCTGCGCTCCAATGGCCTGCAAGCGTAATGCAGCTTGGTGTGCATCCGTTGAGAAAAGTGGTAGGGTCTCATGGACCGATGGTGTCTTTGTGGCGGCTCTGTGGCAGCTCTTCCGACTGGGCAGCTCTTCCGACTGCAAAATACACAAGGCTTCCCGGGGATGAACCAGGTTCGGCAGTGGACGATGTAGGCACCTTGGTGCTTAAGCAGACGTGGTCTTGCGCTTGGAGGAGCTCTAATACATCAACACACCACAAGCAATTAATTAGCCAACAGAGGGATCGCAGAGAAAGAGTAGATGGAGTAGCTCATACCCCCCGCAGCGCATCTAGTTGTACGTTGTCCAAACGAACTCACCACGCACTCGTTTAAGCCGTCCTCGCGGACTCCGACGCTTACTTGCCCCTCCGAGAATTCGCCAGTGGTCTGTTCTATTTTAACCAATGAATTTTGCAGACGAAGTTAGCGGGGGTACGTTTACTCTCCCATAGTTAGCTCAAGTGTATACTGAGCGCTACCAATATCTGTTATCTTCGGCCGAGTTCCAATAGACTGCAACGGCCGAAGTTAAGACGACGTTAGCGGGTACAGGAAGCGGGGCTAGAGGGGATAAAAAAGGGTTAGACAACAGAATGGATATTTCCAAAATCCAAACTGTCATGATGCCTCAAAACGAAAACATACATCTAGAAGAGAATCTAATTTTTTTTCTTTTGTTGCTCACGCTGGGAGGGTTTTCGCTAATGATATGATGTGGGTAGTATGGGCCTGGCATCACGTAGTAGTTACCGACCCTTCCGCCTTAAGCACAACAACCCATTAAAGAAGGTGAAAGCATGCGTTCGAATCATGCTTCCACTTGTTTAACTTGATCTTCAGCGTAGTACCGAGTCGATTCCATATTTTTGCCATCAACACAATGAATTCTTACATCCACCTTCACTTTTCAATTCTCTCTCCTGACACAACAATGCCGCCGCAATTCACCACTCAACTCAACGGCACCATGACGTTTTCGGCCAGCTTAAGTGCGTCAGTGAGCACTTCAGCCAACGTGACAAGCAGCAGAAACTATCGACCTTTAATCCCAGAAACCCCAGGCATACACCCGAGCGGTCCTCCACCGCCTCTCATTTTATCAGTCGAAGAAGCTGATCAACTCGAACATCTCGCCGATGCAGTAACGAAGCAGACTCTAACTGACTATCTACATTTCCGAGATGTCCGCAAGCGTCGTCTTCACGATGAACAATGGAAAGAAGTTCGTCGTCAAAACAATCTCGTGGCATTCAAAGAGCGAGAGTCGTGGCGTCAGCAGCATCAAACGTTGTGTACACCTGACGGTCGACTTGAGCCAGTTGTCTGTAAGACTTCTGTCCCTACTTTACTGGTACTCGGAGCTCTTCAAGGAACACTTGACGATGAGATGTATGGAATGCACATGGACAGTGACAATGGCGCTAAGCTTCGATCTTCGTATATCCACGATCAGGTCAACGACTTTCGAGTATTGACGCGTATTCGAGGAGCTACAAAAGAAGACCCTTTCCGGTTCTGTGGCGTCACGTGGATGGATTTGGGCAATGCTGGCTACGGCCCATTCGCTAAGAAACGAGACCACTGCGTCATCATTTCCATGGGTGTCACTCGTACTGTGCGCGGTGAGCGACTCGGATATTACGTCGCTCATTCTATCGATGTGAGTTCGAACGACATAATGGGAAGAAGTACGCAACTTGGTGTGGGAAGCGACCCAAGTAACAGCAAGTACATTCGTGCCAAAAGCT